AAGTAACTGAGTTACTTTTGAGAGAAGTAACTAGTAATGTAACTAAGTTACTATTTTAAAGTAACTTACCCAACACTGAATATAAGGCACACTTGATTATATTGTATTTGATAAAAATTCTTCTTACAATGACTTACACAATGAAACCATGCTGATATGTTTTGGAGTGAGTAACCATTTCACTGAAAAATCAACTAATCAGTTTAGATCGGCAAGATCTATTTATTTGGAAAATGTGCTAAATGTGGGCTCATTGTGCTAACTGTAGCTACTTGTAGGGGAGACCGGGGATAGTTGTAACATTTTTGACATTTTTGTCTGTAATTTGGAGCTCCTTTAAGGTAGTGGATTCAAAATGTAATCCAAAGTATTTACATGTCTCGGCTATTAAATAGTGCAGCTATTTTCTCTGCAGCACAATTACCCATTGCATGGTATGGCCTCAAACACGAAGAGTGAAATGTTACAATTAACCCCATAGTCTGGGTTAGTTGTAACATATCCTGGGGTGAAATGTAACACAATGAAATAAGGGTACTAACAAAACATTAACATGTAATCTTTGTTTATTCAACACATGAATGCACATGTGTTGAATAAACACATGGCTGTGTGTGTCTGTCACACACACACACACAGCCATTTATGTAGCTGTGTGTGTGTGTGTGACAGAATGCAGAAATCTAGCTTTTGAACATATTCCAACCCCCCAAAAAAGACAAATTATGGAATTTTCTGCAACTGAATATTTCATTAATTTTGGTTGGTCTTCCTTGAGTTTGGCCTCATTGGCTCAGTGGGCATTATAACCTACAACTCTTGCACCAATTTTGAACATAACAATGAAGCTGAAAAAATGTAGTTGTGCACCAGCATCGCAATTCCATTACTTTTTATCATGGCTTACCTTGGTGTGGTTTGCAAAGTGCTTCAGAAAGATGAGGAAATCTGTTTCTTGCACCCATCCTGATTTATTTCCACTACCAGTACTTCCTACTGGTCCATCTCTGACACAGTGGTCTGCATAATGTATGTGTGGGAACACAAACAGTGGAGGAATTGTGTTGCCAATGGCATTAACCGCATATACAAATGCGACCAGTGAACCTCTCTCTGCTGATGTCGTTGCCCCAACTTGTTTAATATAAGTTAAAGTAATAGTGTGGTAAGTTGTAACATCTGCATTATTGTTACAACTAACCCAGACTGTTGCTGTTACAACTGACCCAGACTCCTATAGCCATGAACTAGCTAACATTACAGCCAACGGCTAAAACATTAGCACTAAAGACCTACACAGAATATATCCCCATAGACATACAAATAACATAATTTAAGTTTGATGAGTTTAACTGCAAAGCAGATAATGCTATTAGAAATTGAAATAAAGTAGAAAAACTTACTTTTTGGCATACAAATTACTTTTTTTCATGTTAAATTGTCTGTGTTTGACAAAATGTGCTGATTTTTCACATGTGATAGCAGAACTGAGTTGGGCATGCACAGGATGAGTCACATCATTTGAAACTTAGCCCTGATTGGAGAAATTGGAAGTGTTACAACTGACCCACGTTACAACTATCCCCGGTCTCCCCTACATAATCATTTGAAAAGAAGCACAGAGTCACTTGAGACATGTACTAAAGCATTTGCAATTTGATAAAACCAATGAAAAATGACATTCTGTTGTGAACAATTGCAAGGTGGTTTGGAGATTTGTCCATGTTATTTTGAGAATGTCATCTCGGTTTCAAGAAATGAGCCAAACCAATCGAGAAAAACTGTAAATGAACTGCTGGACTTCCAGACCAGCAGGTTTAGGGAACTCTTTATGGGGTCACACTCTGCCCCACACCACACACACAGCACACACACAGACAAGCACACACGCACACACACACACACACACACACACCACACACCACACACACACACACACACCCCACACACACACACACACACACACACACACACACACACACAGTATTCTTTGTTCACATGTATACCTATGTAAGATGTTATATGTTAATGACCCTATGCATATTCATGTAACCACAATAAAAGGAGTGCTATGGGGAACCTGGCTGAGAGTCTGACGGAGGTCAAGTGGGTGGAACGACACTTTGGCTCCAGGCAGGTCTCCCTCATACATGAGTAATACGAAGAACTTTGCCTACTTGTGTTTTGCGTTTGCTGTGTAGTAAATTGTCCTGAACATTCCAGTGAATAGGTTTATGCTACAAACTTATCATCTCCCATTCACTATTCTGATGAGATTTATGCCTGATTGTATGCTGATTCAAATTAAGCATTCTCAACTATTAGCAAAATAACATATACTGTATTTTTTGGACTACAAGGCGCTCTGGATTATAAGGCGCACTAAACGAAACAAAACTGTGAGATAAGTATGTGCAGTGGCGGTCCAAGCCTGTTTGGTGCTCGAGCGGTGTGATCGGTTCTTGTGGTCTCAGCAAGCCTGACTCCAGATTTGAAACCAAACAACATACAGCTAACACTTATAAGTCTTCCCACTAACTGCTGTTAAAACTGTGACTTAATTTATTCACTATGATATTTGTCAAAGACACACACAGACATAAAACATATTAAGGATTGGCCATTAACATTAAAATGTTGTTTTATAAAACACACACACACACATATAAAGAGAGAGTATGCATTGTATGCAAACGGCTACCAAACAGCCATCATAATTCATCATACAATGAGAACAGCACAAATCACAAATTGACAATGACTAATTAATATTAAAATCTAAATCTAATTAATCTAATTAAAATCTGTAACATATTTTTGGAGCAACTGTAATCCACATAATTTCCTTAGGGATTAATTACGTATTCTGATTCTGATTGTTTCAGGATGACCCGCCATTATCCAATGACACATCTGCTTACCTGCATCTTTTGCTTATTTCTCCTCCTCTTCTTTTCTCTTTTTTCTAAACTGAGCACCTGATGGCTTTGAACCTTTCTTGTCCATCTTCCATTGGTTTTAATTTTGCACTCCAGTATCAACACCCATCCCCCAACCTGAGGATCACCACAACATAAACTAATTCACTTTGTTTATTTCTGGGATTTCACACAACCCAGGATTCAAAACATGAATACATAATGGGCTTGGATTTACATCATTTATTACAACATTTATTTCTGGGATTTCGCACAGAAATGAATTCAGCTTTGTAGCTTACCAAAGCACCGTGTACCACATTCAATTGGTTCGAGGTCAGTAAGCACAAGCAGAATTCATACATAAAATGAATGAGCAGATTAAAAGATTTAAGTGTGAATTATAGTCCAAATAAAAAAGCTAAGTTATGATGCTGTGTTTATGAATCAAAGCATATGTAAATCATTTCTCTTATGTCAGATCACGCCTGGAGATTGGCCAAAGGCTTTCACACCTTCATCTGTCTTACATTCCTCCCCAGCAACAAATTTCCCACGTGTGGGACTAATAAAGGTTATCTTATCTTATCTTATCTTATCTTATCTTATCTTATCTTATCTTATCTTATCTTATCTTATCTTATCTTATCTTATCTTAGCTAGTCTCACATACTGAGACTAATCTGATCAAGGTTGAAGGAGAATCAGACTCTACTCTGTTTGAATAAACTGTATCACATTACCCATAAAATGATCTCAATCTCTTTCACATAGGAAAAGAAAACAAAAGTATGACCTTAGAATTTGTCTGTTTAGATCATCTGACTCGCGGTTGTGCTCTGTTCCGAAGATAATCTTCAGATTTGACTGGGAAGCTGCTATGAGTCCTAACTTGTTTTTCTGCAGCAACAGAAATAACAACAAGAAGAAACAACCACAGCAGCAACTACCAAACCAATTATCAGTCCAATAGATCCACCCTGTCCTCCTGATCGACCTGCAGGTGAGAAACAAGTGTGAGATGACGAGTGAAAAATCCATTTATCTACCAGTGCAGAACATTAAGGAAAAAAAAACCAACAACAAAAAGCTAAAATACGTTTAAAATGTGAATAAAGTGTTGCAATTTACACAGCTTTACACACGCACTAAAATAACAGTCAGTAAAATAATGCACAGGCTGTGTCCCAATTCAGGGTCTGCATGCTTGAAGTACGCACACTACGCGTACTACGTACGGTGCGCACTATAAGTACGAGAAGTGCGGAAGTGAGAGGCTTGTGAAATGGGACGGTCTAGCCTTCGTCGTGCTGTTCAGGGTGCCTAGCAACCATGATACTAACCGCGAGCGAAACGTATATATATATATATAAACATCTGTCTACCTCTGACATCCACCAGCTCATCCATACAACAAACAAACATCAACAACCAGGAAGCAGCTTCACCTCTGATCACACACACACTCAACACTACTCACTCACCTGGAGGAACAACATGAAGGTAGATGATGCTGATGGGCTTCCATGAGCGTGTTTCTTCCATAAGGATACGACACACGTATGTTCCAGTGTCAGCAGTGTTCACATTCTTCAGAATCAAAGACACGTCTCCATCCTTCATCTGTCTGTCTCGCAGATCCACCCGGTTCTTAAAAGATGGATGCTGGTTGTCTGGAACAAAGTGACCATCCCGGTACAAAAAGACATTTTTTGTCTTTAGGAAAGCTCTGCTCCACTTTACACATTTGTTGTTGTTTGGAGCTCGACACGGCAGAGTGATGTTCTGTCCAGGCTTAACTGGAATGCTTTTTATTACTGAAAAAGGAAAACAACACAGAGCAGAGAATTAATAAATGGGATGATGAAATTTCAGATCTACCTGGAAAGTTTTTCATTTTTCACCAGAAAGCTGTTGTTGAACCAGCAATTTTGTTTAAGCAAACTTTCTGTGAGTCTGCATTTGTGCTTGAGTTGCCTAAGCGAACTTATATCATAAACCATCAAAGGAAAAATTCGATACATTCCTTGATATTTGGAAAAACATGAAATATAAAAAATAGACTGCAAATTAATATGTTTGCTGTAAAGTAACATAAAAAAGTGAAGCTGTGAACATATGCACAGGTTCAATTGTTGTCAAGCACAAAATTGTTAAAAATACTGAAGAGAACCTGTGATTATTTCACAGTTATCTAGTGGTTATAAAACTGTTGAGGTCTACTTTAATGCTCCAAATTTGATGAAAGCAGTGAAAATGACACTAAAAGAAGTAATAATAATAATGGATTGGATTTATACAGCGCTTTTCAAGGCACCCAAAGCACTTTACAATACCACTATTCATTCACTCTCACATTCATACACTGGTGGAGGCAGCTACAGTTGTAGCCACAGCTGCCCTGGAGCAGACTGACAGAAGCGAGGCTGCCATATCGCGCCATCGGCCTCTCTGGCCAACACCAGTAGGCAAGTAGGGTAAAGTGTCTTGCCCAAGGACACAATGACCAGGACAGAGAGGCCAGGGATTGAACCGGCAACCTTCCGGTTACAGATGCGATTCCCAACCCCCTGAGCCACGATCGCCCCATAGTGCATGTTTCATCAGCAGAAAAAAGTTGTAAAATAACTAAAAGGTTTTCTTTCCTGTTGCTGTTGTTTGTTTTGTTTTTTGTTTGTTTTTTTATACCAAAAACAGCATAAAAAAGTATAACATCCTGGAGCGTTTTTACATAGTTATAACTGGAAACAACTGCAATTACAGTGCATCCGCAGTTATGATCTCATGATTAATCAGAAAATAAAAAATAAGCAGTGAAGCTAAAATTCTTAGTTTCTCCTCTGAAAGAAGAAAATGAAAGTAACTTAATGTAACTCAGACTGTACTGAAACATCACGATCATTATGATCTATCCATTCTTTGGACATAAATCAGCTGGAAAAAATACACCTGTGCATGACTTTCTGTCACTAAGCTGATACTTTGGCTCTTTCAAAAATATATATATTTTTTTGTATGTTTCACTACAGTGAGTGTTAAAATAAAAAAGTATTTCCCGAGTCCGACACATTTAGTAGATAAGGCCCTATATTTTCTTCCTCCTTTAAAATAACAGTTATTAAGTTTCTCAGGAGTCCTCATGGATCCTCTGACCTCGTGATATTTTTCATTGAGGTCATAAAAAAGAGATTAGAAAAATGAGTTTTGTGGCGTTTTGGACTATTCAATCCAGTATAATGCCAAAATGTGAAATGGACACACATGCACAAGTTTAATGATGCGTCCACAAGTTGCATCACCAGCAGAGGGAGATACACTGAGCTGAGAAGTCGGTGGTGGACAGAAAATATACAAAGTACATTCTGTTTAAATGCTTTCCTGTGGCTTCTTTAATGTTGGCTTGAAGTACAATGTCTCCCTTCGCTGTTATTGCAACTTCTGAGTGCATGTATTTTTTTCCATATTTTGGAGAGGCAAAGTGTGAAAAGGACACTGTGGACCAGTGTGTCGATTACACGTTTTGGCATTTATTGGGCTATAGTGTTGATGAAGATGCTTTAGTTTTGTGCTGAGAGCAAACACAGAGTCACAGCAGCTCAGCAGATATCAAAGAAATAAAAGAAGAAAAGGAACCGCCTGCAAAGTTTAGTTCAGAGGACAATCAAAGACAACTGACCCACTCTCAATGAGACAAATCATCTAGCAAATAAATAAGCAAGGCTGACCAAACATTGAGGAACAAATCCTTATTTCCTCCCAAAATAGCAGCAACTCTTTCATGAGGAATAACTCTTAAAAGTAACAGTAGCAGGTTTATCCTTGGCCCAGTTAGTAAGACTACATTTCTGAGCCAGCAATAACAGTGTATCCAGTGTTGGGAAGGTTACTTTTAAAATGTATTCCATTACAGAATACAGAATACATGCCCCAAAATGTATTCTGTAACGTATTCCGTTACGTTACTCAATGACAGTAACGTATTCTGAATACTTTGGATTACTTAATATATTATCATGCTTTTTACAACAACGTGAATGTACTATTGCTGTGTGATTTATTACTATTACTGAAGGTCCGCGACTCCGAACTGTAGCAAAGGGACCCCTGACTAATACGGCGGGGTCCCTGTTGGCTCGTAGCCGAAAAATAGCTTTACTTTGTTGTGTGGGTCAACTTTTCTTGCGAGAGACAGAGAGAGGCGTTGAAAGGCTGCTCCAACGGAACTTGTTGTTTTCGGAGGAAAACACGAACACGGTGTACAGTCGAGTCTTAATAGCTTACTTACAACTGGGCTCGTCAGACTCTCTTCTTGGCTGAAGTGGTTATTGTTATATTTACATACTTCCAGCTCCCGTTTAAAAACTCGTACCTTTCCACTCCCCTTTTTCTCCCTCCTGGCGCTCACAGACCCATAACGTGTATGGCAGTCCATTCTCCCTGCAACACTGACTACACTGCCCATGATGCTACATTCTTTAAAGCTATGCTTGTAGCATTCTGCCTGTTAGCTTAGCACAACAACAACGAAAAGGCGCTCTCTCACCCAGGAAACACACAGTCTCAGAGAGAGAGAGAGCGTCTCCCTGTAACCATGGCAACCGTAACGCTGCCGCCTGGAACGACAGAACGTAGATGTCAAACAAAACCCAAACAGTCCTGACCCGCGACAAAATGAAACAGGAAAGTACCGCAGTGTAATCCATTTATTTCAACAAAGTAACTGTATTCTGAATACCACCTTTTTAAACGGTAACTGTAACGGAATACAGTTACTCATATTTTGTATTTTAAATACGTAACGGCGGTACATGTATTCCGTTACTCCCCAACACTGAGTGTATCACATGGTTATGTTGTAAATAAGTTAATGTTGTTTCTTTGGAAGGCAAACTAACAATAAAATATGTCCAGGGTGTTTTTGACCCAGTCGTCGATCATCCCTAATCCGTTGTTGTGCCACAGATCAACCAGACTGCAAGACATACCCAGAACAGAGTCTCTGTTTCTCAATAAAGGAGTCAAAAATGAAGTGCACTCGTCTCTATCCACCTCTTATGCATCTCCCTCAAACCGTCATTGTATTATAAATAATTGAGTTATTCTTAATCTGTTTATCATTTCTTTTTTGTTACAAAGAACTAAACTCTGAAGTGAGGAAGGTGAAACAGACCAGGAGTCTTTGTTGTTCTGCTTGGAATAAGAATGTAACCATGTAACCAACCCAAACACTATATACTATATCACAAGAACCTTTCTGCACCATTACAAGTGCAGCTTTATAAATGTTTAATCACCATCTGGTTACATCTCTGGAGTAGGTGTCACTGATAGGGATCATTTCCTGTGCAAGAAAAGTCCTTTGATCATGAATTGCCCGTTTGTGACTGGTCACACGTTGCCAGCACAACCCCTTTCATACACACACTCAACTCTACTCACTCACCTGGAGAAACACTCAGATTGATGGTGATGTATTTCGATGAATTCGTTTCTGCTATTTTAACATGGCACCTGTATGTTCCACTATCAGCAGTTGTCACATCCTTCAGAATCAAAGACACGTCTCCATCCTTCATCTGTCTGTCCTTCAGATCCACCCGGTTCTTAAAAGATGGATGCTGGTGATCTGGATCAAAGTGACCATTCCAGTATAAAAGGACATATTTTGGCTCCAAGTCAGCTTTCCTCCAATATACAGCTGTGATGTTGTTGTTTGGATCTCGACATGTCAGAGTGACGTCCTGTCCAGACTCAGCTGTGATGTTCTTCTGGCCTGAAAGAGGAAACAACACAGAGCAGAGAGGTTAAAGGTCAACGTACAATTATGATCACAATTATTTACTTTAAATATGGTGTTTATTTCCAATAAAAATAGAGATTTTAGTAATTTTGGATGAAATTAACATTAACATCTTAACACACTCCAGGGGTCTGTACTATGAAGCATCGTGTGAGTTTATTCAGGTAAATTCAGGGTTAACAGGATTTTCTTAACTAGGAAGGTGGTTCGCTACTTATGGCAGTGCATTGCCATGGTAACTTATGCTGCCAACACAACCCCTTTTACACACACACTCAACTTGCCATGGTAACTTGTTATGGTAACATAGTAACAGACTGGAGATGATAAGGAATGAAACATGTGACTGAAAATAGCGTCACAAGTCTGTACGTGAACAGTAGGAGGTCCTGGTTTACTGCACGATGGCTGGAAAGTGTAGTTGTAAGACTGTACACCTTTGGAGCCGAAGTCAAAAGTTCAAGTCCCACATGGGGCGATATCCAGTAAGGGTCCTGTTTAGACCCCCTATGCTAAATCAATCCCTGAGATGGCGGGGCCAAGTCTGGGACGGAAGAATTTCACTGCATGTTGTTCTCCTTAAGATTGTGTATGTGATGAATTTTATTTGTTTTTAACAGCATCTAATGTATTTGTTTCCCTAACGAGTATCAGTGATAAATAGTAAATAATATAGAATTTTAGATGCACCTTTAATCTGTGATTTTCTATTTTTATCTTCAGTTAGCAGCAAACACATTTACAACAGGTGGATTTATCTATAAGTATTAATATCTGATCCTAAAGAGGACACACTCACTGTAATTGCTGACCTCATATTAATTTCACTGTTATATTTCTAATGTTGTTCATAGATGATCAATCACAATTTTATCAACATCCTGACTGATTATCATGATTGCCGATGTCAGTGTAAATGAATTCAGACACACACTGGATGTTGACATGGCTTCCTAGTACACAGCTCAGGTCACCAGTGACCCACTGAGGTGGAATTTTAGCCTCATGCTAAACATGCAAAGTGTCAGAAACTACAAGATGTTAGCTTCCACAGAACAACAACATGTGCTGATAATAAATGAACATAATGTGTGAGAGAAAGCAGCCTCTCATTATAAGACACTGTGAGTCTCTGCATGCTGCCTTTATGGAGCTACAGCTGTTTGTGTACACTGAACAAAAAGCTTTGTAGCTGCATCCTGACTCCTGACACTACAACACATCACACTGACACACACATTACACTTCTTTGTCTCTGTCACAGCTGGATTACAGATGTTAAGTGTCCACCCAGCCTCGTGTCTCCTTCACACACACAGACAAACTGAATCCAGATGAAAATAATCCTCCTGTACTTCTTGTCATCTCAGAGAGCAAATCAATTTAGTTCAATCTCACCTGCAGAGACAAACATGAAGATGCTGAAAAATAGCAAAGTGGAGCAGAGTGATGAAGTTCCAGCAGACATTTCTGTGTTTCTGTATTAAACTCAGAATCTGAGCTCCAGACGAGACTAAATGAGATGAACTTTGAGGTTCAGATGAAGCTGAAAGTCCCTGAGTGAGAGAACAG